CGTACGGGGAGGGTCTATCTCCAAAAATACCCTGAGTTGAATATAAGAGTCAAAATCGATGTAGCTCCCTATAATATTAATGAGCCATAACCAGTCCATTTGTTTTCAATACAAGATTCAAATCATCACAAAATGCAATTTCCCAAAAAAAAATCTGTGCAACACTTAGCTTTTATACAATTCAAAGTCACTTGTGAAACACATTGAATTATACGGAAAACCTTTACATTAAGTTTCGCCAGATTCCGTTCCTTAAAATGCAATATATTTGGCATTGTCCTGGCTTGGTATTTGGTTATGCTTCTTAGATATTAAGTTAGTAAATAAAATATCAGTATTATCTATTGAGCTAGAAGTTTCAGTCAATTGAGCTAATACGCCCTATTGAAACTACTTCCAATGAATGTGTGTCATCTGGATTCAGAGTCACACTATCGATCATTGAGAGAGAAGAAGCATACTTCCGTTTTCAGATGAGAAAGAAGAATTAGCGCATTTTCTCCTCTCTCATATTTATTAATACTGTTATTCTATTTTAATTAAGATTCTTTTCATCGGAAGAATCAAAATATTGTGGTTTCTTTTTTCTTAAATTCATGTAAATATACTGCTTTTTACAGAAAGTTAATTGTTCCGCACTTCATTGTTGCTCTTTGGCGATATCATAAAATAAATCAATTCTCTCATACATGTTCTCGGTTTAAAAACCATTACATAACGCAGCAATAATAGTGAAGAACTTGATACATAAATAAAAAGTGAATAAAACAGTAGACCAAGCATAAATTAATTTATGGTCAGATTAACTTTCTCATCGAAAGATGTTCGAGACATAACATTTCTAGCTCGTGAATCCTCTTTAATATATAAATAACTACAAGTGAATAATCAATACATTTAATCATATCATTTTTAAGTTTTTACACTATAGGATATATTATACAATCTCTTCTATATTTGAAAATCTCCTATATGTTTTTAATAGTTTACATTCTGGCTGCCTTCAAAGCTGGCTCCCCAGGAAGGTGTAATATTGCAGCTTCACCCTCAATGAGTGCGACACTTCACTCAGTGCGATTAGTAATAAAAATTAAACTTAACATAAAAGTACAACAAATATGATAACCCATTCACCATTGAAGATCAAGATAATGAAATCCACAATTTACACAACTACCGTCAAAAGGAAAGTGCAGTTTGGAATTTGGGGAAGAAAGAAAAATAATGAAAGAAATAAGAGAGCAGAAAAAAAGGAAGGAGAAAGTTGACGTGAACGTCCAACGTCATCTAAAGCAACATTTTAAAGAGACGATAATAACAGTTCTACTTGCCTTCACGGTGCAGCTCCATGTTTGTCCAAGGCGTGAGGAAAACGGACCCAGTGTGTGGTGTGGTCCGGGCCCGCTCCTCGCCTTTTTGGTCGCGTTTGCCCCCTCGCTGAGCGAGTCGAAATTAGTCCGGCGCCGTAAAAAGTGTGAAACGTACCGAAGCAAATTGATCGTGAAAATTGAGCGAGCACGCGTTCCAGGCATGAAAGCTTTTCGATGAATTTTTCTTTTGTCAGGTGCGTGGACGTTTTTCGCCCAGTGATTATGCAGTATTTGTTGAAAATTGGTCCTGTTTGATTATGTTGTCAATGCAAAATTTTGTCGTGACTGGTGGGTTGAGTCATCAAGCGAGACGAAATTCGTCTTGTGTGGGTCAATGTGAAGTGGTTTATTTGGAAAGAGAATTAGGTGCACTAGATTCATGTTCGAAGTTGTGAAATTAAGTTTCAGCTAGCCACAAAAAATCTCATACGCACGAATATGGTGAAATGAAATACGTGCGCTGAACACATTTCTTTATCCAGAATGAGCTTTACAAAGTATCCAGGTAGTAGATTTTTGTGAAAATTATATTCTACATATTTTTTACGATCTTTTAATAACAGCGATGAGAGATACATTGAGTAGTAGTCGAAGGAAAATGGGGATAATGACTAACGTCTTTGTTTCTGAAAGAAATGTTTGGATGATGCTATTCGTCATTGCAACAATTGGTGCAGTCCCCTTGCAATTTTCTACATATTCATTAATGAATCATCTTACTGTGTTCGATCCATTTCATACTTATATTTTCTAATCTAATAGTCGTATTTGGTCAAATAGAATTTCTTTTAGTAGCAATTATGTTTAAAATAACAATATTTTTTAAATACAGTTAACAATAGAAAGTTAATAATCAAACCTTGAATATTACTTCGCTCTGATACAAAATTTCGTCAACACATATTCGTATTACATTATATCTATTATAAATTATGAACCATATACTAAAAAGTGCATTACAATGGATCGGGTTTGGTAACAATAGTTTTCCGGTCAAAGAACTAAGTGATATTTTGAATGGCAATCTCAAGGAATAGCGGAGAGCAATTTTAATTTCAACTTTCGCCAAGTTTTTATTTGAATTTCAGAGATGTGCTATAATCACGGATGGATCCAAAACGTATTTCAGGAGAAGGATATTCACCTCTGCATTCCACCTCCGATCGCCCGTTTGAAATATGTGAAATGTTAAGCCAATGGTACCTTCAAAAAATGTATGTTAATGACGCAATTCTTCTGGTAGGTTGTATGAGATTCGATCATTGTATGGTAATTGTATTAAATAAATTAATTGAAATTAAAATATAAATTTAGAATCTGCAGGACCAAAGTTCCTTGAGATCCACTCCTACCCTGTGGATATTGGCGATGTCTTATTTATTAGACGTGTCATACGGATTTATACTATACCTTCTGTATGTAACATTTCATCTGATTAATATTAATTTTAAAACAATGATCTTATTATTTCAAACACAGAACTTTCCTAAAAAAATATTATCTAAGAAAGAATATTACTTCTTCATATCATATAGTAAATTTAAATAATGGATATTTTTTATTCATCCTCTTCCCGCATTATTACAGTTTCTCGTTGCGCTTGTAGGTTAAATACGAACGGAATGTCATCCATCTTATAAGATCATTCCCCAGATGCCTGTGTAAACTCTGTGTCCCGTGCAGCAGGTTCGACATGGCCCAGGCACGCAAGTCGGCCCGGCGACGTGACTGGCTGCTCCGCACGCAAAGCCTTTGTTTGCTTTCGGTTGCGAAACTGTTGGGCAAACATCCTCCACACAACAATGTAATGGCTTAATGTAAGCAACGGCGTCCGCGGGGAAGGCGATGGCGAGTGCAGAAAAAGCGGGTGACAGTCTTGGGAGGATTAGGTGCGTGGGCTTCATTGTAGGACATGGAGGTAGAGTTCGAAAACAAACAAGTACTAGTGCGGCTACAACAGCACGTACTTTCTAGCATTACTTCTAAATTTGCAGTTTCCAAAATTCAGAGTCTAACATAAATTATATTTTTTGGGCGCTCTTTGTTTTATTCGTGGAAAAATTTAAAGAAAAAATTGGGAAACATTTTTTGAAAAAATATTTTTTATGATTGATATATTTCAATAACTTTGAGCTGAAATTACGCGAAAACTACTAGTTTTAAGAAAATGTACAAGACCATTTTTAAATATCTGATTTCATTATGACAAAAATCTGTTTCCAATATTATACTTTTGAAAATTAAATTTTTTGCAATTTCCGAGAAGAGTTCGCCTAACAATACTAAACAATACTACTTTTTTATCACTTTAATGCTCACTAGGAGAAAATATAAAGAAAAATTAGAGCCGTTTTTGATAAAAAATTGTTTTAAAATTATCTATATTTCATGCAAAATTACTCATATTTTTGAAAAATTATTTATGGTTTAATTTGTGATCTGTCTTTGAGCAAAAGACTTCATTACGAAAAAAATCACAATCTTCAATATTGTAGTTGTAGGAAGACGTGAAAGCAATTTTAAAATTCTGCAATTACCGGAAAAATTAAAGATTTTGAAGAAAATGAGTTCTTTACGATATCTTAGTTCAAAATTTAATAAAAAAATTGAAGCCATTTTTGAGAAAATTTTGAAGATGTTGAAGCTTCTTGTAAAGTACCCTCTGAAATCGGAATATTTGTTTCAAACTCGCATGGTCTTGAGTTCTTTTAGATCGATTGCGAAATATCAATTTTAGAGAAAATTGTCTGAAAGGTTTACGCGTTAGGAAGGTTCAACAGACAAACTGTTGTCGACTGTCAAATTTTCTCTATCAAGAACAGACAGAAAAGGAATTCTGTCTACACAATATATAAAAGGGAGTCATTTACTTTCTATAGAACAAGAATTATTCACAATTTTGTCTCCAGGGGCCGGGAATAAGAGTTTTTCTGTCGAAAAAACACAGATTGCCGGCGCATAATTACAATACTTTCTCTTCTTATGTAGTACAGGAAGAGAATCAAAACTTGAAGACTAAGGTTATGTACGGAGAGAACCAGGAGCAGAAGATTCAGATAGAGAAAGATCTGGAAGAGTAATGAATCGAAACATAATTAAAGAAACCAATGAAACAATTAGGAAAGAGATACATGACTTGGACAATAGCATAAGTACGAGTACTATTAATTATTTTTGTATAAATAAATGTGTGTTCGTATACTTGCAATATAAATTTTAATTTAGATAAAACATGTGTGTTGTCTTCGCGGAAACCGTATATCTTAAATACAAGACATCAATTCCACTAAAAATGCTGAATATGCTTTCAAAGTACATTGTGTTGAATAGCTGTGTAAACTCCTTTTATTACTTGTATGTTTTGGCATTCAGGAAAACGATGACTGAATATTTATATATTCTGCAGAGGTGCTGCTATCTATTACGGAACGTGAAACCCTTTCACGGTACGAAATAAGTAGAGGGGGCCAGCTGTTCACACTACAGTATTTAGTTAGAATTTCTGTTACTGCACAGCGCTGATCTTGTAATTGGCACACTCGACGCGCTCCTAGCGGTGTTTGTGTTTAACCTGAAAAGTATTCATGAAAAGGGAAGGGCGACCGCACATCTGTCAAACCGCTCCTTTCTTAACCATATTTCTTGATACCTGAAAGTGCAGTGGTGTCTCCGCAACTGTAGCATTGAGACATAAACAAGATCAAGAATGGTAAGTGGTTACTAGCGTTATGAAAAACGTATTGCAATTCGTGAATCCACGATAATTGAGTTAAAATAATGTCTGTAGACTTGATAGTTGACAATAATTTTTCTATTTCGTAACGTTAATACATGAGGTAAAGGAATGTTACGTCATTTAAACGGACGTTTTATTCTCGAGAGTTTAAAACTAGATATACTTATTTTTTGTATCACGAGCCGTCCACGAAGGCGGATAGTGATGTGCATTCGTCATCGGAGAAATGAATTGCTTCAAGAGTGTTACTTAGAAGGTAACACCTCTAACTGTGAGTATGAAAATAAGAAGAAATACAGAAAAAAATTCTGGGCAAATGCGGTGTCTATCCGACAATAATAAACTTCTGGAATCAATCTTTGATCGTACGGAATTACTGACCGATATATAAAACGGAAGAGTTACCTACAATTGTAATAAAATAGCCACAAGTCAATCAACATGAAAAGCCCTTTTTTAAGAAAAGTTCTTTCCGTCCTAGACGGGGAATGTTCTAAGCTCACGACACGTGTGGTAGTGTAGGGCACTTAGTTAGGGCACTGTTCTAACATTCGCCTGGTGTTGATCGGAGAAACAACGGAAAACTACCGATCAGAGCAGCCGGCCGCTAGAATTCTCCTCTAGAGAACAGCTCCATCCGTTCACTGGAGATTCAAGCCAGGCGAATTCGCAACGACCCGCAAAGACACGCGTTATCCTTCGTTGAGCCGCGCCTGTTAGGAAGTATTGGAGCCAAGTGCTGGCGGATAAGGGCGCCCGTGCCGGCCGACATTACCCGGCAGGGGTTAAGCCGCTAAGCGTATTACGGGAGCGGCCATTTGCATATCGCTTCCGGCGCGCCAGCGATCGCGCCTGATCGAAGCTGCGCCTGCAGAATGCTAAATATTTACAGGGGCGGAGGGAAAGGGAGTGGTACGCTGTCTTGTTGAAGGTGCCCCCATCCTCTCTGTGAAACAGTTTCAGGCGTATAAATGTCAACAAAAGTGTGGTGTATATACTTACCATTAATGCATAAATTATTGGGTAGCGCAGGGACATTCAGTGAAGTGAAATACAGTGGTGATTATGGATGTTTTTTTATTTGTTTTTAAGGTATTTGTTGGTATTGTTTATTTTTATATTTGTAGTAGTTGATATTGCTCAACTGCCACCGAACGAACGCTCATTTACAAGAATAAATTATTATTTTATAACGATGTCATATTGTGACATAGGGTCCACATTCCTTCAAATAAGCCTTTAAACCAGGTCAGAGAGTTTAAAAAAAGGGCCTAATGTGCATCCAACAGTAATGTTTAAAATGAATGTGGAACTCCAATAGTGTAATAAGTTATTTACGAAGTATCGTAATATATCTTATTGCAATAAGAGATTAGACAATTATTAAACGAGGACGTTAGACTGATTGCCAATTCAGTTTTTTCAATCCTGTGATGTTACGATATAAATATTGAAAACGTTTTATTCACTTTATGAAAATTCCAACATATTACATTTTTCACTTAAATTTGACTACTCGGATTGCAAAAGGTGATAGAGGTTGATAGTATTTAATGAACTACAGGTATTATTATTGGAACACGTGTTCTAACAATTCTTATTATGAAACTGATCTCAGTTCATTCATTTTATTTAAATTTAAGTAACAATTTCTATGAATTCGAAACTATGGTATTAAATAAATAATAAATGATTGCAATGTGCTTTCCTCACTATTTTCTCAGATTTCCCTTTCGACAGATTACAATTACAAGTGCGCCAAGACTTTTAATACACACACCAAATACTAGTAATAATTATAATAATAACAATAATAGTAATAGCTATAATATCACCTATATTTTTGCAGGATACATTTAAATAATTCGGGTGATATGCTTGTCAGTGTGTAATGTAGAATCACTAAGAAAAGCCGAAAAATATAAGAAATATATGTGTACAAATAATTATTTAATTTTCTACAAATTGCAATATACATTGAACACAACAAACGTTCCAATACATTTATATATTTCTCACACTTCAAATAACGCAATAGCATAATCTAATTCACTTTCAACTCAGCTTATATTAGTTCTCAACGAACGATTAGATATATTTTTTTATTATTTCGTGAATAACAACCTAATTCCAGAGTGTTGTTCTCGACCGTTACGGCCCTTTGTGGTACCAAAAATATCACCATGACAAAGCGCACGAGCCCCACTGGCCGTGTGCAGACTTCCACCCATTGTGCCCTCGATCGATATTCCAAACAGGAGTGCCTTTCGCAACTCAAACGAGGGATTTTCCAGCTGCCAGGTAAGAAGATAGTGGTGGGGGTGGCAAGTAACATAAAGACGTGTTGCTGATGTGATGATGTTGACTGCAATGGGGTTGATGATCTCCATAACGCTGTCGATTGTGATGCTGACGACGGCCATTAATGTGGTGCTAATAGTGGCGTCGAAGCCATTAATGTGGCCATTAATGTGGTGCTAATACGACAGGCGTGCCGACCGTATGACTAGAATCGGTAGTTTGGTCGGTCGGTAGTGCGGTCGGTCTGCAGCTCGGTAGTTCGGTCGTTCAGTCGGTAATTCGGTCGGTCGGTAGGTCGGTAGTTCGGTCGGTGCAGGATATAATATCACACGACGATTGCCTGATGTGATGTCGGGTGTAATCGTATTGTATATTTTTTTATGTTATTTAATGCTGGCATACAATAATATAATCAATAATTTTCTGTGCTACATTTTTTTAATGATAATTGACATCATAAAATGATGACTGATACAGTGTCAGTCGTAATATCAGAAATTACAACGGATATGTTTGACGAGTTGGATATCTCATCCAACGTCCACCGATTTCGTCGATGATCTCCACGATGGTATTGCTGATGGCGATGCTCATGTCGATTATGGCGTTTGAGAGGGTATCGGCAATGGTGTTGGCAACTACAGAGACTGCACTGATGACGACGACAGTGGTGGTGGTGATGGTGAGGGCTAGGTCGTTCGCCGCACCGGTGCTGTTTTCCTGTTCGGCGACGGAACGGCTGCAGAAGGCTTGGGGCAACCCCTTCGTGCTTATCGCAAACAGGCGGCGGCGGCGGCGGCAGGCGAGCGGAAGTCAACGGCGTAAACAGCAGCCGCGCAAGCTGCGAAATCGGAGCAGCAGCCCTTCCCGTCCCCTCGCCCCCCGCCCCCCTCCATCGTTTTTCCATCGGCATAAGCTGGGCTGCCTTTTCAGCCTTCATCGCGACATTCGCAAACAGGCTGGGTCGTCCCAGCCGCACCTTCGCTCAGCTTCATTGGGGTGCGTCGTCCCCAGCCGTGATTATCAGGAAGTGGTATTTGTGGACTGAGCGAAGTGGCTCAGGGCATATCGTGCTCACGTTGCATTCGGGAGGCCCGGGTTCAATCCCCCATGCCGGCCATCCTAACCGCCGCGCTTGCTGGGGGGGGGGGGGGCTACTGAAAGGTCACGACCGCTAAACTAGCGTCGCTGACCGAATTCGTAAAGTCACGAAGGTTAACCGAATTCGAGACTGCGCGTTTTCCTTTTTGGGTGACCGACTAGTAGCTCCAGGGTCTAATGACCCCGAGGTCAATTGCCCATTACCGACACATGATGTCTAAGTTCAAATATATGTGTTTTTGCTCACCGGTTGTGTTCTTATTTCCGCGTTTTGCTAAATGGACCATCCGCTACGTTCATTTTAATTTTTGTGTTTAACCGCAATTTGTGAGCCATCATTTACTTTTTATACTCTACTTAAGTCATTTAAATTATCCACCAATTACAGTCAACCAAGTAATGACCGTTACTAATTACTGATATTAATAAATGACCAATGTCACCTTTCTTCATCTTCCACTTAGGGTATTACAGTATATATAGTCTATTCTCCATTTTACTTCTCTTGAACGAACTTCGAAGCTATAGACCCAACGTTGTGGAGTGCAGTATCCACCGGATAGTTGTAACAGAACACTCAGAAAAGAGACATAAGATATTCTGCAAATTCGTTGTAAAGAAATCGCAAGCCATCACATTTCCAAACGATAATTCTATTACATTGAACGTATGACATGCTATAATCAGCTTCAGTGGTGTTCTAGTGAAGGAAATAGAAGTAAATCAAAGAGTACTGCCCTTCCCCGTATAAATATTCTTGTATAGATATTGCCTGAAACTCCGTTACCTTGAAAGAGTAATGTTTAAATACTTTTTAACGTTTCTGCTCAATTTCTCTGCCGAAGTTGTGCCTACGTTTGCTTGCGCCATTACGATATTCGCTTTTGACAGTTTCTTCATTCAGTAAATGACTCTACTTCTCTATTTCCTTCGAAGCCACACGTTCCATCCCTTCTCATAACACACACGATCTGGGCATAAATGACACCTTTCTCTTTCTTTTCACCAGGTCTGTTCTAAAGCGTACCCAAATTTCCCGTGATCTTTGATACTGTAGACATCCCTACTCATTTCTCGGTCATCACTCCAACATTTTCAAAGTACTTTGTTGTTTAAAGAGTTTCCCAATATTTTTTCTCAATTCCAGTAGTTTAGTTGTCTTTCGTCGTGTTGTGCCTTAATGAGCATCGCCATTTATGAGTTCCCCTTAACCCTTCGGATGTGGCGAGATTTTTCGTGCGTTTTTATTAGTCGCGTGGGGATGCTTAATATCCCCATTCCTTTCTCTCTAATATGACTAACAAATACTCCGGGTTTGCTATTTATTCTTCGTTTATTCAATTACCTTGGGTATATGTTAAGTCAGTTGTATTTTTTAGATTCTAAATTTTTTTATTGTTTCAAGTGAAGTATAATCCAAAAGGCAATCATGTTTTACCTTGCTAACAGTAACTATAAGTTATTTTTTATTTATGTATGAAAACTCTAAACAGTATAACTATTTTTTAAGTATTGCTTTCACTAATCTGCTATTGTTTACAAGCGTCACCAGCAATTCAATTTCATGAATA